CTACACAACATGTCTACACAACATGACTACACAACATGACAGTTCAGTTTGAGAGTCCTCGTGTCCTCTGGGTTCAGCTGGTTGTAATATGTAAGGCCACCACTAGATGTCTCTAATTATCTGAGAAGATTCTCAATCATCCAGGTCAGGACATCTTCAGGTATCAAACATGTGAACGTAGACTAGTGGACCTGTACGCATTACAACCATCACACACACACACACACACACACACACACACACACACACACACACACACCTATCAAATGCTGACACGGTGCTGATGGCCAGCAGCAGGTAGAGCAGAGACTGGGCGGGGTAAGCCAGTGGGTGGTACTGCTGCAGCAGGTTGGGCAGCGTGGTCATCTGTTCGCCCGCCAACACGTACACGACGATGATGTTCCACACCGCGTAGCCCGCCAGGAAACCGTGAGAGAACAGACCAATCACCCTGCACACAGAGATAAGGGTTAAGGTGAAGGTTAAGGGGTTAGTTAGTAGGTTAAGGTGTTAGTTAGTAGGTTAAGGTGTTAGTTAGTAGGTTAAGGTGTGCAGACCTGAAGCCACTGTGGACCCTCATAGCGACGTCTCTGGTGGTCCAGAACTGTCTGGGGTCCATGTAGTCGTCCATCACCTCGGGGTGTCGGAACTGCTCCACCCGCTCTGCCTGAAAACGCCCTGCAGGCAAAATGTCCGCCGTGAACGAGGGCCAAGCAGCTTTGTGGTCATTTCTGAGGGTGTGGTGTTTTGGACCGGGTCAGAGCGTCGGAGGAGATTTGCTGAGTCGGGTGAGGTCAGTGAACCACATCAGTGCTGCTGGATTAAAGAGGCTGCTGCTGATCTGGTTACTGACTCAGTGATTAACTAGCCACTGATGTCGTAACGTTCATTATCTTTCTTCTCTTCGTGTTTCGTTTCAGACAAACACACAAAAAAAAAATCCTGTTTGGAAATGAACGTGTTTTCGTATAAAAAGCACAAACCTGCTCACTGTAGGTTTGAATATGAAGATCTGACCGTAAACTGACGGACAGCAGGTGAGAGACGGTTCAAGGACGCTTCAGTCTTTCCCTGTCCTCTGGTTGGTTGTGAATGTTTTTTATTACGTTGCAGTTAATCGATCGTGTTCCCAGTTACTGATCAACACCGAACAGAAACTAGAGGTTCAAGTGAACTGGAGGTGAATTCTGTGTTTACGCTGTGAGGTCTTAAAACAGGGCGTGGCCTGTCACTTCTGATGTGTCCGAGAAGTCACATGGAAAATCAGAAATAAAATAATAAAATAATTTCTCACACAAGAACAAAGCTGATTTCATTTGTTCATAAAACAGGAAATGTTTGTTGGAGCTAAAACACTCGAGATTTAACGTGAGAATGAAAACGTGTCCGTGTCACTGAAGCTTGAGCCAGAAAGTCGGATTCACACTCACGGTTCCGTTCCACGAAGACTTTGCCGACCGGCTGACTGTGGCTGTGGGGGGCGGAGAACAGGGAATGCTGGGGGATGGGAGACTGGGCGTCTGTGATGATGTCGTCGTCTTCCGCTCCGAGGTCGTTGCTGTTGTGCTCCGTCGCCTTCGCCTTCCTACATCAAACAGTGCAGAGGAACGGGTCAGTACGTTCATGGTCCCCAGAAGATGAGTCTTGAAAACGTTCAGCCAGATCACTTCTCTGGATTCAAGACCTTAACTGGAGATCTCAGACGAAGACAATCTTGGATTTGTTGTTGTGATTCTGTTTGTGGACACTTATGTGTCTCTTTTAATTCTGTGTTTCCTGTTTTATTTTGAAATTTTGTTCCTAATGTCTTTCACCTGTGTCCAATTAGCCCCGCCTCCTCTGTGTATATAAGCCTCTGTGTGTCTTTGTCTTTGTCGGTTTGTCGTTGTGTCTCACTTGTTGGTTTCTCGTGGGTCTTTGCTCTTCTCAATGTTTCCACTCTTTTTTACGTCTCTTCAGTTTCTGTCCTTTGTCTTTTATTCAGGACACTTTTAGTTTTACTACTTTGTTTTTGTGTCCACGTGCTTCTTAAAGTGTCCAGGAGTCATACATGTGAATGTAGAAAAGTGGACATGTTGTGTAGACATGTTGTGTAGTCTTGTTGTGTGGACATGTTGTGTAGTCATGTTGTGTAGACATGTTGTGTAGTCTTGTTGTGTGGACATGTTGTGTAGACATGTTGTGTAGTCTTGTTGTGTGGACATGTTGTGTAGACATGTTGTGTGGACATGTTGTGTGGACATGTTGTGTGGACATGTTGTGTGGACATGTTGTGTAGACATGTTGTGTAGTCATGTTGTGTAGTCATGTTGTGTAGTCAGTGTGTGTAGCAGATTGTCGACTCGTTCACAACAACAGGAACATGTGGGGACATTCAGGTGAGGGGAGGAGCCTGTAGAGCAGCAGGAGGCGGGACATGGCGTCTAAACTGTGTAAAGATCAGTGTTGTTGTTTACAGCTCGTCCACACGGCGTCGGCCCTCATCACCAAAACATCTGGAACCTCCTCGTCTTTCCAAGTGGACGTCTTCGTCTTCTACGGCTCCTCTTCTTCATCCTGAGACATTTGTGTTCTTCAGTTTCACGCCCACTCGCTCACTGAGAAGGTTCCAGATGTTTTCTCTCATGGACTCACTCTGACATCTTACAGATGTTTCACCAGAGGCTGCAGGAGAAGATCCAGAACATGTGCAGAGACACTGACTCATTTGTCCTCACATACAGAACATGTGAGGAACACGTCAGGAACATGTGAGGACTGAAATCAGCTGTACATTACATTTGTACTCCTTCACTTGCTTCTTGCAGGTTCTCACCTTTTCCTTTTGGTTTTTCTGGTGACAGCCACAGTTGTCTCCTCTCCGTCCATGGCGGCCTCCACCATGTCACCGTTTGGAACGTCTGGTTCTGCTTCCTGGTCTGACAGAACATCACGTGACATGAGGAGGTTTAGGACAAAGCTTTATTATCATTGTTTCCACATGTGAACAGAAGCGTCTGTGAACAGTCACAAATAAGAAGACACTTTCTGAAGTCACACTTTAAGAGTTGACTCTAACTTTTATAATAATTAATAATAATTAATGACCTTTAAAATCCTGCTTCAATGACAAGAACGTTTACATTGACAGGTCATTACACATAAGGTTGTGTAGTGGTGTCTTGGTTTTGTTGTGTTGTTGTGTAGTTTATTATGTCGTGGTTTAGTTGTTGTGAGGTTGTGACGTGGGTTAGTTGTGTAGTTGCAGAGAGAACCTGCGTCACTGGTATGAAAATGGTTGATGTGGTGTGGAAACAGAAGAACAGCAGCTGCAGTGGAAACGTTTTTACCGATGGTCAGAGCCTTCTTCTTTTTCTTCTTCTTCTGTGGTGCTGGGTCCTGAGGCTCTGGGGTCAGATGCTCTCTGCTGTCAGAGCGACTCCTGGTGGTCACGTCCTCCATCTCCACCTCCATCTCCACACCCACTGAACATCACAGTAGATGATAGATAAGATGATAGTAGAACACAGTAGAACTCAGTAGATGATAGTAGAAC